ATTGCCCTTATCAGTTACAGGATGTAGGAGTGAACTTCCTAACCTTCCCTTCCTTTATCTATTTGAAAGGTCAGTAGCAAACAGTGTATGATATAGTGTACTATATTCTCCCAATTACTTAGTCTTTGATTTTTAAGTTATATTTTATGAACTGTAATGAATTGAGAGTGTGGTCCATATTTCAAAAAAATGGTATTGTTTCTAAAAATTCTGCGAGGTTTTTTCTTTCTGCATGTGTGATAGAATCTAATTGTTTCATATGTTTGTCGAATTTATATTGCTTTATTGCCCTTGTTGGGCTGGAGCAATAGCAGAGCGGTAGGCCGTTTGCCTTGCATGTGGCCAGCTTGGCTAACCAGGGTTCAGTTCTTCCCCATCCCTCTCAGAGAGTCCGGCAAGTTACCGAGAGTATCTCGCCCATATGGCAAAGGCATTGTGACGTATTCGATATGCCAAACACAGTAACAAAAAGTTTCAAAACGGAGACGTTACTGGGTCTGCTCAATCAAATTGATGAACAACGGGAAGACAGTCCTATACAGTGCTATTGACCTTTCGGGTAAGAGTAGAAACTTGCATTATTATAGGTTTAGAGTGTAGGCCTAGATTTTAATGATTTCTCTTATAATTTCTGCTAATAGAAGTTTTATTTTCCTTTGATCATGCTGATCAGTAAATATGGACCTTTTAAAAATAATCTGCATTGAATTTACTATATTTTAGAGGTAGAGTTGTATTTTGAAATATTAAGATAATTTGATATACCTGTCACAATTATCTATGAACAATATATAGACTATCCATAGTCTTTTCATCTTCAACATCTGTAATTATCATCATCATTATCATTTCATCCTGTTATTCGTCGATTGCCTCGAGCAGGCCCCAGTAACATCTCTTTCATCCTAGCCCTGAGATTATATTCAAGGTTCTTTAGGAGAATGAGACCCATCATTGTTACTGGTATTTGGCATATTTGGTACGCCACGGGGAGTTTGCCAGACTCTGAGTTTGTCAGACTCTGCCCTGTGGGCAGGCTACAATCAATAGCCTGCAAGTTTGTCCAAAGTAGGAATGAGATAATAAGATGTCATAAAAAGATGTCCTGATAAGATGTTCCGGAGCTGGATTTTATAGTCTCTGAGTCTTGGCCTTTGATGGGATTACACGGCGCCAGGGGGCCAGGTGGTGGGTGTGACCCCCGCCTACTGGAATTTGGAGGATCTGGGTGGAGGATGCTCGACTCCAATCCGAGTAGGCTTGGAGATCTCGGCCCCGGAACCCGCGTGGATTTGTCCCTCTGCCAGTACCTTCATGTGTGCGGAGAGTGGTCTCAGCATGGTGGCGGCTGGTCCTGGAGGTCTTCGGCTGCCGGAGCCCTGGTCGGGGCGGGGAGGAAAGCTCAAACCGCTCCCCTCCAAAGGGCCCCGGCAAGGAACAGCCAGGCGCGGGGGCAGGAGACTGCACTGTTCTCTGTAATTATTTATTTTTAATTTTTATTAGTGAAACACCATGAGGTACAGATGTAGATTTATTAATTTTTATGCTTGGGTTTCAACGATCAAACACACATCCCTCCACCAGTGCCATTTTTCCACCACCACGGGTCCCAGTATCCCTCCTACCCCCCATCTCCCCATCCTCTGTGGCAGGGTATTCCCTTTTGTTCTCTCTCTCCTATTGGGTGTTGTGGTTTGCAAAAGAGGCATTGAGTGGCAATCATGTTTGGTCTGTAGTCTACTTTCAGCAAGCTTCTCCCATTCTGGAAGAATCCTCCCAACACCCTTTATTTGGTGCTCCCTTCTCTATCTGAGCTCTCTTTTCCCCGAGAATGTGGAACTGGCCGCCAAGACATGGAGTAAAACTCCTGGTACTAATCTTGGTCACTCTTGGGTGTTAGTCTCGTATTTTGTTACTTTATGTTCCCCAGATGAATGCAATCTTTCTATGTCTATCCCTCTCTTTCTGACTCATTTCACTTAACATGATACTTTCCATGTAGTACCGTTTGTAAGTAAATTTCATGACTTCATCTTTTCTAACAGCTACATAGTACTCCATTATGTAGATGTACCAAAGTTTCTTTAACCAGTCATCTGTTCTCGACCACTCAGGTTTTTTTCCAGATTCTGGCTATTGTAAAGAGTGCTGCAATGAACAAGCAAGTGCAGATGTCACTTCAACTATACTTTTTTCCTCTCTGGGATATATTCCCCAGTGTGGTATTGCCGGGTCAAATGGGAGCTCGATTTCTAATTTTTTGAAAATCATCCATACTGTTTTCCAGAAGGGCTGAACCAGTCGGCATTCCCACCAGCAGTGAAGGAGGGTCCCTTTCTCGCCACATCCATGCCAGCACGGACTGCCTTTGTTCTTTTGGATGTGGGACAGTCTCTGTGGTGTGAAATGATATCTCACTGTGGTTTTGATCTGCATCTCCCTGATGATTAATGATGTTGAGCATTTTCTCATATGCCTTTTAGCCATGCTAATTTCTTCGTTGAGAAAGTTTCTGTTCATTTCGTTGCCCCATTTTTTATGGGGGTGGATGTTTTCTTCTTGTGGAGTTTAACCAGTACTTTGTATATCCTTGATATACAAGGATATATATACAAGGATTGTTGCATAGAAGGTGAAAGCTTTAGCCCCTTTATTGTCTCTGTGACATCCACTATTTTTAATAGACAACCTTAGTAAAGCAAATGATAATCTAATCAAAGTGATGTATGATCTTACACCAGCAAAAATAGTCTACCATCTGTTTAGAAATAGTAAGTTCTGATAAGGATGGGTATGGAAACAAAATATATTCTTCTGCTAGTATTAATAATTGTTTAGTCTCCTTGGAAAATGGTTTGGAAACTTTTTGAAAAATTAGTGACAGACTTTCCATGTCTGTCATGGATAGCTTGCCAGGATTTGCCATGCGGGCGAGATACTCTCAGTATCTTTGCCTTGTGGGCAAGATACTCTTAGTAGCTTGCCCGGCTCTCCTAGAGGGGTGTAAAAATTGAACATGGGTTGGTTGCGTCGGTTGTGTGCAAGGCAAACGCCCTACCGTTGTGCTATTGCTCCAACCCAGAATGCAACTCAGCTGTGAAAAAGATGAAACCTTGCAGTTTGCTGCATCCTGGATATAATTGAAGTGTAACGTTAAGTGAAGTAATTCAGAAATAAAAAGGCATAGCAAATGATCTCATTCATATGTAAGGAAGCAAAGCAATGGATTGAATAAACCCCCATGGGAATGAGTACTGTAATATGGTCACTAGAATTATGATTAGAAATTGTTCAGTGGGGCAAGGAACCTTCACATTATGTATTGTGGTCATTGGATACTTTGTAGAGAAAGATCAGAATCAGTGAAAGTGAGAGGAGGAAGGAGAGAGGAGGGGAGAGGAGATTGTTCTTTATGAGACATTCTGGTGTCATTCTAATGCTGGTCAGTCTTGCTGAACAAAGTGATCTTTCATTGTTCTTGGACCACCAGTGCTAATCTGGTTAGATAAGGCCACTAGAGTCACATCTAGCGGTGCACAGGACTGCCAGAGTCACACCTAGCACTACTTCATGGACCTGAGTTTCCAGGAATTGAACTCGGCGTTGTGCAGATTTCTCTCTGATTCCTCCTTCTTCCCTATCTTAAGTTATCTGCTTGTCCTAGGATTGTGTATTGAATAATTAAATAAGTATCATGGTTGAGCGTCATGTATGTTAAGTGGCCAGGAGCTGCTTCTCACCCCAGCTTGCAGCCTCCACCAACAGACACAAGAAGGAGGAAACAGGGCCGCCAGGCTCATTCGTGACCAGTTGCCATTTATTCCAATCTGTACTGTCGTTTATAACATTCTCCTGGCGAACCAGTTCCAGTCTGAGTAAATTTCCCATAGCATTCTCACACTGCCCCTCCTCTCTTCCTCCTGTTCTCATGCTACTCTCCCTGTGCCCAGTGTTGCAGCCTTATTCTAGAGCCCAACTTTAAACATTGGGGTTAGCCACTATACCTAGGTCAGATAGCACAAACAACATATGTAAAGTCCTTCTTTTCTTCTGGGGAAGCTCATCTAAGACAAAGATCTCTTGTTAGAAGATCCTCTCCAGGGTGAAATTTTATCTAAGGCCATATTTTTCCTTTCCTTAGTCGATAACCATTTACACAGTCACCTTAAATTTACTTCTTAATAATCGTTCTAGTCATTTTGTATAGACTCAGTAAGGGATATATTAAGTTTAAAGGGTGGTTTTCCTGGGAATATCTTGCTATAGATCCCAGAGTACAGTCCTCAGGCCAGATTAGTCCTTCCTAACCATAGTAATGCCCTTGTCAGGTCACTTCTCTTTGGGTAATGACAGAATTCATCCATGGACGTGTTCTTAGATTATTTTAAGTTTGAAGGCACTTATCCTGTCCTGTTTCAACGCCAGGGTAGCTTACCATTTGCCCTGGGTCCAACCAGATCCTTCATCAGGATCTTGCTACTGGGTTTTGCTTAGTAACGAAGGGCAACTGAGGTTTAAGTCGAGTAAATATGACAGATGTCCAGGAGTAAATATTATTTGGAGTAATTTAATTCCCATGTTATAAAAGCATAGCATTAACTGCCTTCCTCTGCCTGTACAAAAGGACATTGCACTAAAGTAAACAATCCAAAGGATCTAAGGAAAGGAGAAGAGCAAATTGCACTTTCAAATACAAATCCAGAATTCTCTGAAGAATTTGACTTTTCAAGCCACAGTTTCTGTTTAGGGAAATGAGTGATTAACAGATAGAGAAAGCAAAGAAAAGAGAAGTTAAATATGAATACCAAAACAATGGGAGTGATTTGGGAACATTGTGATGTGGGTGTAACCTAATAAACCTAAGCTCCTTTTGGCAGAGGAGAAAGCACAAATGTTAGCCTACACAAGTGGATCATATTTGCAAATCAATTTACATATTTGGTGTTTAATATTTTAAATAAGCAATCTTATTTACACATATTTTTTGTTTTTTTTCATAGCTGGGTTAACAACTTTGGTCATGAAGGCCTTGGACTCTTACTGGATGTACTGGAAAGACTTCTGGATAAGAAACAGTAAGAATAACATTTGTAATAATTACAAAAATGGGAAATTTTTACATTTAGTATCATAACCATTTTATTTTTGTTATGCAGGCAAGAAAGTATTGATAAGAAGAATCAGTATAAGCTTATTCAGTGCCTCAAAGCATTTATGAATAATAAGGTAAGTTTTATTTCTGCCTCTGTCACAAAAGGTGACAACTTATCTAAGAGTATGAGAGTATAAAAGATAGGACATTCATAGGTGTTTATTCAGTGTATGAATAGTTCCATATAATGCAAATCATCATGAATTTCAGTTAAATATTCACATCTTTTCACATAATGTTTATTATTAGGTTTTTATACTCATACAACCATGTCTTATTACAAATTGAATCATTTTCTTCTATGTTTGTAGTAAAATTGGAGAATACTTTTTTCTCACAGATTTCATATTCTTAAAAATGAAAGAAATAAAGAAAATCCAAATCTATGTTTTGAGTTATTTGCTAAAATTGATGAACAATGGGAGGACAGTGACAGTGACAGTAAATTTTCTTTTATGTTCGAAATGGTGTCAGTGAGTTAACATACATGTATTATCTTTCTGCAGGGGCCCGGGACTTTAGGAATGACATTTACCTTTCAGGTGGCTGGCTGGTGTTCAATCCCAGCAAGTACATATGGTTTCCTGAGCTTAAATAGAATACCTTAAAACTGTATTTTACTTTTGTGTTAGAAACAATTTTCCTTACATACTTATATGTAGGGCTGGAGTGATAGTAAGGCATTTGCTTTGCAGGTGGCCAACCCAGGTTTGATTCCTCTGTCCCTCTTGGAGATCCCGGCAAGCTACTGAGAGTATCCTGCTTGCACAGTAAAGCCTGGCAAGCTCCCCATGGCATATCCGATATGCCAAAAAAAGTAACAAAAAGTCTCACAATATAGATGTTACTGGTGCCCACTAGAACAAATCTATGAACAATGGGAGGACAGTTCTACAGTAATTCAATGCTGTTTATATATAAAGAACCACTGCCTTATTTATAATTTTATAATTCCCTATAGATAGTATTTTGATTTTTCTAGTTTTTATTGTTTAATGATTTGGCATTGGTTTTTACAGTATTCTAGAATAACAGGAGTTTAGCTTCTCAGTTCTATGTCTCCAATTTTAAACACTTATTCTACTATTTTTCTAGTGCATTCCTCCCATCATTTAATATCTTTTTATTCATACCTACCACTCTTTTCACTTTCCTTGTGTTATGCAGCATAGTTTACACTATGTCTGAAAGTAAGGGTTTTTTTAGTAAGCAAAAGTTATTAAATATAATTAATTTTAACCAAAGCATAAAATAATATAATGTGAAATATATTCATTAAAATGCCTTAGATTATTCTTTATTAATCTATAAAGAAATTATGAATTTTCATAACAAACTATGCATACTGTGCTACACATCAGGTTCTTAGTGAACATTGTTTCGTCAAGCTCAAGAAAAGTCTCTACATTTAGGAAAACAATGGAATAATGGAAAAACTGTACTATACCTGAAATCAAGAGCTGTATTTCTTATTTTAGCAGTAACAAATATAAAATTCACTTGAAAATCACTTTACCTTTATTTATTTCTTTTTCTGTAAAATTGTTATATAAGATTCCCCTTTGCAAATTCTAGTTTACTATTGTAAATTCTAATAGCTTTCCAGGATACTGATAAAAAGATAATTAGAATTGTTGCTGTGGAGAAAATCATGTTAGTGAGACTTACTGTAGAGACATTCCCAAAGACCTAAGTCAATATGACAGTTCAAAATTAGTTATTACTTAAGAATTTAACGTTTTTGTGAGACAGTATGTTTTGATTTTCATAAAGTTAAACTTCGATGGCATGTTAGTTTTTAACAAATAGGTGCTAAGAAAAATAAGTTAATAGGCTTATGAAACAGTAGATACACATACACATTGAAAATAATACTGAAATATATCTAGTTTCTGTTTGTTTAAATTGCCATAAAGAACAGAATTTTTATGTGAAATGAGTTAAATATAAAATTTTACTGGCCCTGGGTATATAGTTTTATAAAATATACATAGAAATCAAATAGATACTGACAAAAAACCATAAAGAATGTATTTTAAAACAAGTATTAAGGGTCTGGAGTGATAGTACAGCAGGTAGGGCATTTGCCTTGTAAGCAGCTGACCCGGATTTGTTTCCCAGCATCCCATATGGTCCCCATAACACCTCCAGTAGTAATTCCTGAATGCAAAGCCAGGAGTAACCCCTGCTCATCAATGGGTGTTACCCAAAAAGCAAAGCAAAAAAAAAAGAGTATTGAAAGTTGTAGGTCATAATGGGGGGTTTCAGAATATGAAACCTTAGTTTGTGGAATAGATGTCCACATATTTTGTATTTTTTTCTAGATATATATCCATTGCTCTGTATGACTATTTTTTGTTCTGTTGCTATATTTGACTTCTATTCACTTCAATTTTGTACTATAGTTTGAATTTAGGGAGTATAATACCTCCATTTTTTTTTCAACTTGTCTCATACCCTCTTAAGCTGTTTACAGTTTTTTTATGGTTCCACACCAAATTTAGAATTGTATGTTCTATGTATTTGACAATCACAGTGGGCAGCTGTAAGGAAAGATGAAGTTAGGAAATTTGCTTATAAGTGGATGGTCATGGAGAGTATCATGCTAAGTCATGAAAATATGATGCAGAAAGAGAGGATCAGACATAGAATTACTGCACTCATTTGTGGATTATAAAATAACGTGATATGAGACTGACACCCAAGGATAGTAGACACAAGGGCCAGGAATATTGCTCCGTAGTTGTAAGTTTGTCTCATGAGCTGGGGAGAAGGCAGCTGGAATAGGGGATCACTAAGTCAATAATGGCTGGTGGAATCATTCAGGCTGGGATATGTGTGCTGAAAGTAGATAAAGGACCAAGTGTGATACCCTCTCAGTATCTATATTGCAAAACATAATGCCCAGAAGTAGAGTATGGGGGAAGTTGTCTGCTATAGAGGCAGGGGAGTTGGAAAAGGGGGGTTAATACTAGGGACAATGGTGGAGGAGAATGTACACTGTTGGAGGGATGGGTGTTTGATCATTGTATGACTGAAACTCAACAAGAGTGTTTTGTAGCTATCTCTTGGTGATACAATAAAAAAAGAAGATTGCTGCTGGTATTTTTAGATAGCTATAGGAATCAAGATTTTTTAAATCTTTTAATTTTTTAATTTTATAAAGTAGTTCACAATATTTGATTGCATTTAATGTTCAAACACTAATCCTACCACCATTAATCCTTCCCACCACCATATTTTGGATGTTTCTATCCCAAACCCCAATCCATACCCCAAAGCAGAACCAAAAGAATATATTTTCTATTGTTTGTTATGAAAAACCACTAATGAAAATTTTTAAAAATTAAAGAAAAAAAAGAAAAACCACTAAAAATTCTATAAAAATATTCTTAGAGGAAAGAGTATGAAGATTGTTGTATTTCACCCAGAGGACATTAAACCCTTCTATAAGAGATTACTAACATGTTTTTCAAGGTTGAGGTTTGTGTGTCAGCAGTCACCCCCATAAGCAACTTCTGGCTAGTGCCAGATAATCTCATCATTGGCCACCATTTAGATCGCATGTCCTCTCTCCTGAAAGGGAGCATAACATGACACGTGCCATAACCATGCTATTGGGCTTTTTCACTCGGGGTACCCGGAGAGGGATGGAGGAAACTCCTCCCCGCCCCAAGGGACCCAGGCACTGCAACCAAAAACCTCCAGAACTCTACTGTCGCCATGTTCACAGGCTCCACACGCTTGGGCCCAGCCTCACCCATGCGTGAACATATTCCTGGACTGCATGGCTGAGTTTGTGGCTGCGCTTCACTTCATAGGACACACCCTACTCATACTACAAGAGTGCCGCACCACATTTGATGTGGTTCTAAGTAGGAGACTGTGTAATCACCAGACAACTGGGAAGCCCACAGCTCTCTGTTGCTACCTTCGTTTGATGGTCTCAGGCCACGCCCCCACCTGTGATGGCCGATGCCATGGGCAGATGAAGGAGGAAATGGGGGCCGGGCTTGTTGGTGGATCAGTTGCCATTTATTCCATTCTCCCAAGGTGCTTGTTTCAGTCTCACTAAGATCCCCATTCCCATCTCCTCCTGTCCCCCTTGCTAGTCTCTCCATGCTCCTACTCGCCATCTTGGTCTCTCTATAGTTTTTCACCAACTCCCAGCATTGGGGTAGAACCACACCCAGGTCCAGAAGCACAATCAACATAAGAAAGCCCTCCTCTCAAGGGTGAAATACCACCTATTTTGTATTTCTCCTTTCCTTGGTTCAGCACATTTAATTAACATTTTTATCACCATCTTAATTCTACTTTTTAATATTAGTTATTTTGCATAGACACATAAGAGATACATTAAGCTTATAACGTTGACTCTCCTGGCGACATCTTGCTACAGATCTCAGACTACAGTGCTCAGGCAAGATTAGACTTTCATAATCCTAGCAGGGTCTTAATCTAGTTGTTACTTTTTGGATCATGACAGAATTTATCCATTACCATGCTCTTAACTTATAATTAAGCATTATGACACTTTGGCCTGGCCCCTTTCAATGCCAGGGTATATCACAACTTGCCCTAGGTCCATCTAGTCCCTTGTTGGTACCCTGCCCTTGGGGGGCTAGGAAATAAAGGAAACTGAGGCAGATAGCCCGGAGTGAATATTATTCGGAGTCAATTAACTCCCAAATTACAAATTACAACTAACTCCCAAGTTGAGGAAGCAGAGCACACAGAAAGAGGTTACAGATAAACAAAGCGAAATGGGATTGTGCACCCAATAAACCTAAGCTCCCTGTGGCAAGGCAGAAAGGACAAACCAATATTATTCTACAGAGGCGACCAATCTCAGAGGGAAACTCACAGATATATATTATATATATGTATATATATATATTACAATATATTTTTATAATAGTTATCTACCCAGTGCATGTACATTGCATGGCTTAATTTTTCTTTGTGTCTTCTACTTCTTTAAGTGATAGCTTAGGTTGTTCAGTATACTTATCTTTCACCTACTTTGTTAGGTTTGCTTCCAGGTATTTTAATGTTTATGCAATTGCAAAGGGTATTTTTCCTCTAATTTTCCTTTTTTCCCCAATTAATCATTTGCACATAGAAATGGAGATTATATATATATGTATTAATTTTATTTATTTTTTATTTTTATTAGTGAAAGACCATGAGGTACAGTTGTAGACTTACAAATTTTTGTGCTTGGGTTTCAGTTATACAATGATCAAGTACCCATCCCTTCACCAGTGCCCATTTCCACCACCACGGGTCCCAGTATCCCTCCCGCCCCCACCCCCCCATCCCATCCTGCCTCTGTGGCAGGACATTCCCTTTTGTCCTCTCTCTCCTATTGGGTGTTGTGGTTTGCAAAAGAGGCATTGAGTGGCAATCATGTTTGGTCTATAGTCTACTTTCAGCATGCTTCTCCCATCCTTGGAGGATCCTTTCAACACCCTTTATTTGGTGTTCCTTTCTTTATCTGAACTCCCTTTTCCCCTAGAATGTGTGGCTGTCCTCCAAGTCATGGAGCAAAATTTCTGGTACTAATCTCAGCCACTCTTGGGTATTAGTCTCGTATTTTGTTACTTTATGTTCCCCGGATGAATGCAATCTTTCTATGTCTATCCCTCTCTTTCTGACTCATTTTGCTCAACATTCGGAGAGCCCGGCAAGCTACCGAGAGTATTCGATATGCCAGACACAGTAACAACAAAGTCTCCAATGGAGATGTTACTGGGCCTGCTCGAGCAAATCGATGACCAACGGGAGGGCCTTTACCTTTACCTTTACCTTGCTCAACATGATACTTTCCATGTAGTACCACTTGTATGTAAATTTCATGACTTCATCTTTTCTAACAGCTACATAGTACTGCATTGTGTAAATGCACCCCCCCCCCCAAAAAAAGACCTCTAGTCGGTCGTGTGTGTGTGTGTGTGTGTGTGTGTGTGTGTGTGTGTGTGTGATGTCATCCCAAAATAGTGAGTTTTGCAATTTCTTTCTCCATTTGGATTTTATTTATGTTTTTTTCTTGCATAATGGATTTGGCTAAATCTTTCATAACTATCTTGAGGAGAAATAGTGTGAGTGGACATTCTTGTCTTCTTACATATTTTCATTTTAAAATAAAGAACTATATTTATTACCATCTAGTATGATGGGAGTTAGCTCTGTAACCAGTTTGCTAAGACTGGGTTTGTCATGGTATAATCTTTGTCGTATTGACAAATGCTCCTTATAGTTCCAGTATATTGAATCATTTTATGTGAAATGTATGATGAAAATAATTCTTTTTCCAGTATGTATTTATAGGTAATACTATTTTTATGTTTCTCTTATTGATTCATTATTATTATTATTATTATTATTATTATTATTATTATTATTTTGGTCTTGGAGCCACAACCTGCAACATAAAGGGATTACTCTTGTTGATGTTTTAGGGATGAAATGGTATCCCAGAAATTTAACCTGTTTTGGTTGTGTGCAAAACAAGCACCCTACTTGATAATACTATTTATTCAGATCCTGATATATTATTTTTATCTTGAATAATTTTTTATTCCTGAAATAAATCCCAAGTTGTTAGACCGAATGAGTTTTCTTTTTAATCTTTTTGTTGTTGGCTTGTACCACTATTATGTGAGTGATTCTATATTTCTAATTTTCCCCTTGTTCTTTACTAATTTTCTCTTATGTTGTAGTCTTATTTTTCTTTTCATGGGAAAGAACTTTAAATATTTCTTGTAGAGTAGCTATGCTAGAGAAAACCTTTGTTAACCTCTGTTGTCTGAATTTTAAAAAAAGCCCTTTATTTCTCTATCATTTTTGAATGGTGGTTTGCCACAGTATAGTTTCTTGGCTGGTGTGGTCTAGTATTTATTTATTTATTTATTTATTTATTTTTACTGTTAGCATGTCTCTCCACACTTGTCTTCAGAGTTTCTTATGAGAATTCTGATAAAGGTCTGATAAAGGCATCTTTGTCACCATTGTCATTTCTTGAATAGACTTTAATATCTCTCCTTTTTCATTGACTTTTGATAATTTAACAGTGATGTTTTATGTCTTGAGAGATTATTTTGTATTCATGAATTCAGGTGTTCTCTCAGCATGCTAGACATTTACTGTCAGTTTTATCCTTAGGCTTGGCAAGTCCCGACCTATTATTTCTTTTAATATGGTCTCTGCCTTCTCATGCTCTCTTTTCACTTTCTCGTACTCCCACACTTTGACTTTTACATTCTTAATGGATTCTGACATTTTTCCTCTTAAATATATTTCTCTTTTCCATTTGAATCATTATTGTCATTTTATATTCATTTTCAGATATTCTTTCTTCTGTTAGAATTAGTTGTTATACTTTGCCATGTTAGGCCAAATTTCACTCAGTATGTGTCATAACCAATATCACTATTTGGAATATATTAATATTCTCAACCTTGAACTTGTGATCTTATAACTGTTTTAGGTATCTCATACTGTCTTCTTTGTGTTGAGATTCTAAAATTTTCTTAAATTTAATTTTTATGGATTATCTCCTTTATTTGCTATTAACTGCCTTAATATTGTGTTTTTAATTTAGCCCTGTGAAGATATGCCATTCTCTTTGAGGAATTGCCTTTTATTTTTAGAATGTTTGTGATCACAGACCTTTATTTATATAAGCCAGCTTCTTTTTTTTTCCTTTGATCGTGCTATGACTTTACTGTTATTTCCTGTTTATTTCAAATCTTGATTATGATTGATATGGGTAGGAAATTGCTAAGGAGATCAACAACTACTATTGATCAGTGTTCTCAGTGTGGATGAGTGTCATATTGATCAGAGAAAAGGGCTTGAGACCTTCATCCTTTCTATCACAGCCATTCTATTTCCTTATTTTTACCAGTAGTATCTATTATGGGCCAGAGCGGTAGCATAGCGGGTAGGGAGTTTGCCTTACACGTGGCTGTCCTGGGTTCAATTATTCCGCCCCTCTCAGAGAGCCCTGCAAGCTACTGCGAGTATTCCGCCCGTACGGCAGGGTGTGGCAAGTTACCCGTGATGTATTCAATATGCCAAAAATAATAACAGATTTCCCAATGGAGACGTTACTGGTGGCTGCTCTAGAAAATCGATGAACTCGGGAGGACAATGACAGTGACTATATATATTACAGTTCTCTACCTCTGAACCACAGCTTGTTCTCTGTATTACATCATATATATATATGTACACACATGTATCACTGTATCAATGTCATCCCGTTGATCGTTGAATTACTCGAGCGGGCACCAGTAACGTATCTATTCCTCCCAGCCCTGAGATTTTAGCATCCTCTTCTTACTCGTCTTTTTCCAATGATTGGATGCTGTTTCAGGGTCAGGGAAATGAGACTTGTTGTCATTACTGTATTTGGCATATCGAGTACGCCATAGGGAGCTTTCCAGGCTCTGCCCTTGCGGGCAGGATACTCTCTGCAGCTTGCTGGGCTCTCCTAGAGGCATATATTTATATATTTTTCTCTATGGTTTGTTGCCTACATGTATATGATAAAATTTTATTATTATAGCTTGACATTCTTCTTTGTTGAAGAGGTATTGATCATTTCCATTTTTTTCTTTTTGAGTCACATCCGGCAATGCACAGAGGTTACTCCTGGCTCTACACTCAGGAATTACTCCTAGTGATACTCTGGGGACAATATGCGATGCTGGGAATTGAACCCAGGTTGGCCGCTTGCAAGGCAAATGCTGTACCTGCTGTGCTGTCCCTCCAGCCCCTCCAGTTTTTTGAAATATTTGTAACCCAGCTTGTTTTTAAGCATCAGTATTTTTAACAGGACTACAGAGTTCATATCATATTAAAGAACAAAGTATCAAAAATATAATGTTATTTCAAATTTCAAAAACTCAAATAGTTTTGCAGAATATTTATATAATTAATTATAATTTCATTTTGGTGGTACAAGCATTTAGAATATCAGCTTACATAAACTGCTCTTTTTTTTAGTTTGGTTTGCAAAGGATTCTAGGAGATGAAAGAAGTCTTTTGTTATTGGCACGAGCAATTGATCCCAAACAACCCAATATGATGACTGAAATAGTAAAAATACTTTCTGCTATTTGCATTGTTGGAGAAGAGAATGTGTAAGTGTTTTTATATCATTACTTTATCTGTGAAAGTTATACTGGAAAATTGAATAAGTTTTATTTTTGTGATTTTTCTTTACATAATATATGTGAAATAGTATTCAATTTTATAAAATTTTGGATTGGCATTTACGTTAATATTTGCATTTTAGCATTCTTCTATTTCTTTAAAATTTAGACTTAAGGATATACTTAATAGATAATTTATCAAAATTGGATTTAAAATGAGCAACTAGAGATTTGTCCTAGTTGCTTTTTATTGGGAAAAAGTTAGGAAAGTTAGTCATTCATTAGTAAAGTGAGAAAAATCAGGTCAAGTATAATTTGACTATGTATACACACACACACACACACACATATATACTATTTGGCTTCAGCAGTCTTAACTAGGTGCTTTGTAAGCCAATGTATCAATTTCTGCAAGGTGCTGAATGTTAAAGTAATAATAGCATGTCATGGAATTTCTACTTGATTAGAATCAAAATATCAGATTTTATATCATTATATCAGATTTGATATCATTAGTAAGCATCAGTAGTAAAAATGAATGTGATAAAAATAAAATATCTGCTAAGGACATGGGATATGAAATATTCTTTTGAACATTTTGTATAGCTGTCATAACTTCAGTTTAAATTAGACAACTGCCATGGAAAGATTTTATAATATTCTGTGTTGACATTTTTATACCTTTCACAATAAAATGAATTGTGGATTACATTTTATTATGTTGCATGCAAGTTTCGTTTGAAACCAAAAGATAGACACTAAACAACTTATAGTGCTAAACCATATCTCAATGAGAGCACACCAGGAATGAAAACATAACATATGCATAAGTAACATTTTACTACTGAACATATAAAATGATAATATTAATACTATTTTAAAATATAAATATTTTAAAACATAGCATTTCCTTAGCTTTTATTGGCTCATCCTTATGAAAAGAAATATTTTTATTGTTATTAGATTTTCAATTCTTAATTTATAAAGTTTAATTTAGCATGGTATTTTATAACTGTAGATTGTAATTAAGTATTATTTGATAAGAGAAGTATGCTAGGTGGAATTCCCATTTTTTAATTCAGATACAGTTACAGTGTGATTACTGATTTTTTTCCAATAAGTTTCATGTATAATGTAAAGAGTTGTTTCTCTCACTAGAGTTTTCTCTTTACTATTTTTACATGTTTCATTCTTTATATATTTTCTCTCGTTCAATTAAAAAATAAAATGTTTCTTTTTAGATGTCATTTTGAAAATGTTTCTTTGGAATTTTGTTACCAAATTCCAATATTCTGTTTAATAACATTTTAAAATTATAAATGCTATACACATTAGCACCTGACATAGCAAACATGACATTTATGTATATCACATACCAACTATTTTTAATGGTTTAGAAACTTATTTTTTATAAATTGAATCTTTAAATATTGTATATCTAAATTTTTATTAAATTAAAGAACCATAATTTATACAGTTATTCATAGTTGGGGTTTAGGCATGCAACATTTTGACACCAATCCCACCTCTGTGTCAACTTCCCTCTACCAGTGTTCCCACAAATTTTTATTTTGCTATTCTAATAGTATCTGAACTATAGTAATATGAAGAAAGGTTTACTACTCTTAAATTTTAGTGATCCATATGACCATCATACAGAAGAAACAAAACAGGGAAACCTGAGCCAGTTAACTTCTATTTATAATCTAAAGTAATGTAAAGTAAGTAATATATGTAGAAAATATTTCTCAATTTTATTTTCTTTTTTATCTGTAGCCTTGAGAAACTGTTAGGGGCTATAACTACAGCAGCAGAAAGAAATAATAGAGAACGATTTTCAACAATTGTTGAAGGATTAGAGAATCATGAAGCTTTGCAGTTACAGGTAAGTTACTTTTTCTTTGTTTTGGCTTATAAGGGTCATAGCGATCTTTTCCAGGAATTTAACTAGTGCATTGCAATGTGCTCTCCTGTTTGAGCCACATTCCTGCATGTGTTAAATAGATAATTTTGCTTGTTAGCTAGAGTGCAGATTTTACAAGATACTATTTTCATTAGTATTTAAATAAAATACAATGCAGAAATAAAAATATTCCTGTTGGTGGCAGAAACGATAATCTAGTAGGTCCTGAATTTGTTTTTCATGTTCCTGACCCCTGTTCAATATCCAGTACCTTATAAGTCCCCAATTTTACCAGAAGTGATCTCTGAGCCCTGAGCATCCTTGACCAACCAAAAATTATTCTTATCCCTGAGTTGTTATAAATGCTTCATATTTTTGTTCATGAGAATAGCAGTATGTTTAAAATTAGAAAATTATTCAAGATTATTGCAAGTAAGATGATTATGTTTAATTTGTGGTAGATTTTATTAATGTGATAAACATTACAAAATTGTGTAATAAACACTACAAAAATTGAAACCTTAGTAATAAATGATTATATCAAGGGGCCTAATTTTTAACCAAGTATCAGTGTCCTGACAAATCTTAGGTTTGTTGAAATTCAGGAAAACTAAACATATCTCTGGTGTTTAAATAGGATTTAGAAGGGTGATTTACTTGAGGAAAGGGGTCAGTGTGGAGTTGTATTCCAATTCTTGATTAGATATTACCTGATAGCACTGTGTAGACTTAACCTAAGTATGTTCTTTAGGAAATTATAAATCTCACTACATTTTTAGATGGTTTTCGAAAATCACCTATTTTATTTATTAAATAATTTTGTTTCTTCTTTGTGTTTCAATTTTTTTAAATTTGGTGATGGAGAATAATCTCAGGTCTTTATACAGGTGAAATATGTATACAACCTTAGAAAGGACTGTTTTATGAAAGATAGTTTTTAAGTGATGAGAATTTATATTTATTGACTGTATTTCTGTTGTGAGATTCTAAACTAAACATTTCAACTTAGGTATATCACCATCTTTAATTTTCACAACAGAGCAGCTATGTTAATTACATTATAATTTCCATTTTTGTTATAAGATGAGCACAGTGAGACTAAATTAGATGTCTAAGGTGATATAACTTGTGTCACACTCAAAATTCAATGTCAGGCTTTTCTTTTTGGTTTTTGGGTCACATCCAGTGATACACAGGGGTTACTCCTGGCTCATGCACTCAGGAATTCCTCCTGGCGATGCTTGGGGCACCTTGTGGGATGATGGAAATTGAACCGGGGTCGGCAGCTTGCAAAGCAAATGCCCTACCTGCTGTTCTATCCTTCCAGCCCCTGATGTCAAAGATTTTTGGCTCAACATTCTAATTTCTTTTTTTTTACAGCATTTTTACCGTTTTATCTTCTTTGGCAACTGTTTCTAGGAATATTTTTTTTAACTTTAGTAAAGTTGTTCTAAAAAGAAAAGATGGTTTCATATTTCATTAATGTAATTGTATCGTAGTGAGCATGTTTAAATATTAAAATGTTTGATATAAATCAGGTTTTTCCCTTTCTTATTTTTGTGTTGTAATCTTTATTTTTTGTATTATAATCTTTATTTTTTCTGTTAGAGTTTGAAATTATATCAAATATAAAAATTGTCTTACACAATAAAATGCTGTAGTGTTGCAAAACTAAATCCTTGTCTAATATTTTAAGAAACTGAAATTGTTTGTGCAGGGCCAGGTGGTTCTTCATTGACCTGAGGAGACTAAGCTCTTGCCTAGCACCCATAGAAAGACTTATTTGAACAGGCATACAAACTAACAAAGCACGAGAGTCTGGCAAACTTCCCATGTCGTACTCAATATGTTGTACTCAATATGCCAAGTAACAATGATAGGTCTCATTCTCCTAGCCCTGAACATTGAATATGGCTCTTTTAAAATCTCAGGGCTAGGAAGAAGGAGACATTACTGGTGCTTGCTCGAGGTAATCGATGAACAACAGCATGATCCTGATCGTGATCTACATACTCTACATATTAGGAATCTTAACTCAGGAATCCTAGAAATCGATTCTTTATCCACTGCATCCTTGATAGAAGTGAAAAGTCTGATTACAGTGTATGATGTATACCCTCATATCTATTTTATTTTCTCACAAATATATAATTTTTTCTGACTTTAACATAGTTATATTTTGGTCATCCCCTAGATGTATATCCATTTGTTTTCTTTCTCTTTATTAAAATGTACTTGTCCTGGGGACTGGAATGTTAGAACAATGGGTAGGGCGTTTGCCTTGCTCACAGCCTACCCGGGTTCGTTTCCCAGCGTCCCATATGGTCCCCTTAGCACTGCCAGTAGTAATTCCTGAGTGCAGAGCTAGGAGTAACCCCGTGCACAGTCAGGTGTGACCCAAAAAGAAAAAAAAATAAATAAAATATACGTGTCCAGATACCTCACCTTGCCCTTAAAGGTATCATAAATTTCATTGGTAAGCCATGTATTAATATTATACTTTTTATATATTATATGATTTTGAACAGCATGGAAATTCTATGAGAGAATTAATGTTGTTATCATCTAATAGAGAAGTAAACTGAGGCTCATAGCAATTAGATCATTTTCTTAGGCTACTGAAGTAAATTAGGAAGTCAAATCTTAAATTAGACACCAAAGACTCTTTCTTCAGAGCAGATAATCATGATCCCTGTATAATGCCTCATGTTTACAAAACTTACTTATCTTAAACAATTTTTTATGAGGAGCTGTGATTTACAACACTGTTAATCATACCTTTCTTATATATATCATTCCAACATCACACCCATTACCATAGAGCCTGCCACTCTCCACCAGTGCCCCAAAAATCCCTCCCAGTCCACTACACCATATAAGATGAGTTCTGTTGCAAAAAAAAATTCAGTCCCAATAATTCATTTTTTTTCTTTTTGGGCTTTTATATATATATTTTAATTTTATTGAATCACTGTGAGATAATTACAAGCTTTTATATTTACGTTACAATCACAGAATGATCAAATAACCATTTCTCACCCTTCCCCTGCCTTCATGGCAGACGATATTCCCCATGCTCTCTACTTTGGGGCATTATGGTTTGCAATACAAACACTGAGAGGTTATCATGTTTGGTCCTTTATCTACTTGCAGCACACAGTCCCAATAATTTTTAACATTTTTTGCTTGCTTACGTTGTTTCTTTTTCATATCACACATGGAAAGAACCTTGTTTTTATTTATATATATATAGTATATGTAATATTCATATATATTTTCATAAAATGTTATTTTATATAAATATAATAAAGTAGAAATATAGTAAATATATACATATATATTATACATATTAATTGAATCACCATGAGATACACAGTTACAAAGCTGATCATGATTGCGTTACAGTCATATAGTGTTCGAACACCTATCCCTCTACCATGGTACATTTACCACCACAAATTTCCTCAGTTTAATGCCCCACCCCCCACACACACTTTTTATATTTCACTGTCTTCTTTGGACATTAATGGTTTACAATAAAAGAACTGAGAGGTTGTCATGATTTCTCCTTTATGTACTTTCAGTTCGAAGTTCTTATCCAGAGTATTTATTTCTAATTATTATTGTCATAGTGATTGGTCCCTTCGCTAACCAAGTGATTTCTCCCCTCAGCACTGGAGGGAATCTTTCAGCTAAGAACCAATCCTCCCAGCCTTAGTTTCACTTTTCTTGTGCATTAGTCTCTTATTAGTCTCTTATTATGTTTTTTTATATTAATCTCAAATATGTGCAAATATTCTCTGTCTGTCCCTCTCCCTCTAACTTATTTCACTCAGCATGGTACTTGCTCTCCATGTCCATCCATGTTTAAGTGAGTTTCATAACTTCATTTTTCTCTTTGCCAATATATCATATTTTTAAAACTGCTAATTTTCAAAATATTTACATGTTTCCCTCTTCTCAAAGGATTTTTGCTCTTCTTGTCTTCCTCATTTTACATAATAAAAGCTTCCCTTTTTACCTAATTTTAAATGCTTTCTAAGAATTTATTGTTTTATTGAATTCCAAGATTGTTTTTCCAATCAGCAAATCAAGACATACTGAACATACTATTCTCTTATATCACTGTACATATTGTTCTCATAATCACCACTATTTTTTTCTCTAACAGCAGTATTTTTCACTTAATTTGCAAATTTGTAGGAAATATATTGGATGGTCACTCTTACCAAGAAATGTTCCATACTGTTGTCAACTGTCACAGTCCTCCCGTTGTTCATCGATTTGCTCGAGTGGGCCCAGTAACATTGTGAGACTTGTTACTGTGTTTGGCATATCAAATACTTCATGGGTAGCTTGACAGGCTTTGCCTTGCGGGCAAGATACTCTCGTTAGCTTGCCGGACTCTCGGAGTGGGGTGGAGGAATCGAACTGGGGTCGGCCTTGTTGGCTGCTTGCAAGGCAAAGGCGCTACACGCTGTGCTATTGCTCCAGCCCGTTGTCAACTATTGTTAAAAATAAATATGATTCTAACACAGTAGGAATTGTGGAAATTTTTATATTTATAAGAAATCCATTGTAAATTTATAAAAAAGTCTAATTATACCAAATGACAGTTTTCATTTTAGCTTCAAGTTAATGTTCTTGCCTTTGAGCCTGTCATGGTCCCAAATGTGCCATATGTTTTAGCCCCACTAAACCTGCTGTTTTCTAAATATGTTGCAGATGTTCATAAGTTCTCAGATATTTTATTATGCAGAATACTGTTTGAAATTCCAAGCATTTCACACATTTTCAGTTTAACCTAGTAATATTTATTCTGAACATAAAGGAAGGAAAATTGCGGTATTTCCTAACCATGTCTTGGAATGTTTTTTGATAAAGATATACTTTGATTCTTAAAGGATAATATTTATTATTCAATTGTGTATGAAATTATCTTTGCTGATAGAGAACCAGGATTATGGTAGGATTTCCCATGA